TTGTTTTCTCCTCCAGATTGTTCATCCAGCCTATCTTATTTAGACAGACCTGTGGAGATAATAACATGCACGAAAACAAGACAGAGCTAAACCAAGCAATAAAAGAAAACAAAACAACAAAGCCAATGACAAAAAACAAAACAAAACCCAATAACAAGAAAGAAAAGCCTGTAGTTAGTTCAAGGACTATTTGTTGGCCTTTAGGAGTGTTTTCCAGTTGAGTCTGTTGGGGTGCCAAGCCCTGGCCCCAGAGTCTACTTTTGGTATTCCCTGGGGACTTTGTTACTCTCTTCCCCACTGGAGTTTTGTGTTGCACTCCTGATCACTGGCATATTTTGTTATCCGCATTCTTTTGTCTTATCTCTAAAGTGCAGGTTCCTTTAGGGAAGGGGCTATCGTTTATTACTATTTGTTTTCCTATATCATTCCTAAGGAAGATTCTTGACCCTAGACTTGAAATAAACAGAACAATAACAATCAGCTGCAGACTTGAGATGCAAGAAGCATCATTGTTGTTTCAGATTGGGTTCTTGGAGAAGCTCACTCTGAGATGGAGCTTATAAACAGGTCAGTGATTAGGGATCTACATTTGTGTTCCCAGAGAAAGGAGAGAGATGGAGTTGGGAGAAGTGGAGCTTCAATGTAGACTTAACAACAGCGTGAGCCAAACCCAGGAAGCTCAGAAGGTAGAATGGCTTTCTTAGAATAACCAAAATTCCCTGTAGACATCACGCATTGGATGTGGGACACCCTGAGAGAGTGCAGCTGGGGCATTTGTGAAGCCCACCGCTCCAGGGGCAGAATGTCCTTCTGAGGGGAACTCAGTGGTGCACCACAGCGTCCAGCCCGGTGTTGATATAGTTTCCAAATAGTCACAAAAGATAAAAATGAGACTTCTATTTTCAGAAGGAGTGGGAAAAGGTAAGATTCATATGGGCGGTGATTGTGGGCGGTGTGATGATTTGGAGAGGATGTGGTGAGAAATAAATTTGAGCATATTTTTACTTGCTTTGGTATCTTCTTTCATGATACATCTATATTTTCTGTCCAGTTCATGGGAGATCTCATCATTTTTAAATCATCAGGGTGTGTTTGTTAACTTTTTGTTCTTTTTTTTTTTTGCCAGAATGTTTCAGACGCCAAGTCAGATCTCTCACTTCAGCTTATTTTCTTTGATGGAGAAGAAGCCTTCCTTCACTGGTCTCCTTGGGATTCCCTGTATGGGTCCCGGCACTTAGCTTCCAAGATGGCCTCGACCCCACATCCTCCTGGAGCAACGGGCACGAACCAACTGCATGGCGTGGTTAGTCTGGCTAATTTCCATGGCATTGCGGCTGTAGGCTCTTCCTCCCAGGGAGAGTCTGCTTCAGCCGAGTGAAGACCTACAAGTGCCGCAGTATTGGAGCAGAGTGTTTATAATAGAATATTTCTTGGCAGTTGTTGCGATTTTGAGGAAACCCAGAGTCAAAAAGAATGACTTTGGGCTGGAAGTTATGTTTAACTGAGCTTAATGCGAATGATGTTAAAAAAATTCTATTAATGGCACATCAGATTCTGGTTAGTTGAATGGGAGCCTGGTTCCCCAGTGAGGTGTAGAGTGTAGAGAGCTCATCCTTCCCCTAAGGCAGGGGTTCTCAACTTTCCTCATGCTGTGGCCCTTTAATACAGTTCCTCATGTTGTGGTGACCCCCAACTATAAAATTATTTTTGTTGCTACTTCATAACTGTAATTTTGCCACTGTTATGAATCGGGGACCTCTGTGAAAGAGTCGTTCCACATTAGGCATTTAGAGTTGATGGTAGTTGAGACTCTAGGGAATGGAGTAGTTGTGGGCCACTAAATGGGATGGCAGTGAAAAATGTCCTGGGCATATTCAAAGAGTTATACTGATATTTTGATGTAACATTTTTGCATGGGTGTCGGGACATTCAGATGCTACCTCAAAACCCTACTCTTATTATCATGTAATGGGTGAAACAGCTTCATTTACCAATTACTTTCTTTCCTATACCTGGGAACACTTCCCATCCCTAATTCCTCATACTTCACTTGATCCCTGAATCCTCTCCCTACACTGACACTTTTCCCATATTTGACCTTCAGTTTTTCCCTGAGCCCTCACCAATCCATCTTGGAATCTTCTACCACCTTTCAGACTTCACTCTATCCTCTGTCCTCATCCAGCCTGCCTCACCCCTCATGAAAGCCTATTTCTTACCACTCCACTCATCCCAATCCTTGCCCCGCTGTGGACACTCACACATTCTTAGTTCTATTTATGTGTTCAAACAGCCATCTTCAGTGGTTTGCTCTGACTGTAGCATAACTCTTATTGGCATTTACTCTCTCCTAGTCATTCATTAACAGCTCCGAAGTCAGGGGGATGTGGTTAGCACCTCATTTACTTGTCCCCGTGTGGTTAAAAAAGATTCTGAGAAGAAGAGAGCTGGTTGATAAATAGGAGAAACCAAGTTACTATCACTTCAAATACAGAAATGCACAGTGATGGTTAAGACCAAGTTTTCTCGAACAAACTTAACTTACTCGATCTTGTAAATAGGCTGCTGTTTCAAAGAAGTCTACTTTTGAAGTAATGAACATATTTAAACCTCATGGATGAGTTCACAATACTGTATCTCTAGCATCAGCCATTGCAGATGTTTATTTACTAAGTATCAGGAGCTATGCCTGATTTTTACCCATTCATGATCTCATTTACACAATTCAGGGTTAGTTTAGAGTCTCTTCAAACCTGCTGATGTTTAATGGAGAAATACATCACACACATATACACCTTTTTCTTTCTTGAGAAATTCCAAGAACAATCAACGGCTCAAAGAATTTAAGGAACATGGATCTAATTTTGAGACATAATTCTGAAGCCAGACAACCCAAACTCATTGCCCTTGAGTAGTATCCCACTCCTAGTAACCCTTAGGACAAAGTGGAACTGGCCCTATGGGTTTCTGAGACTGTAACTTCTTATCGGAGTGGGGAGCTTCATCTTTGTCCTGCAGAGAGGAAGGAGATCCTTGCAGTTAGCAGCCCTACTTGTAACTCACTACTCCACCAACACTCCTCTGAGACCTAGCACATTGTGAATTATAACAGAAGAGACCTTTAAAGATTAGTTGGTTTGATCATCTAATTTGATAGACAAGAAAACTGAAGCCACATCTCCTACCAAGTCAGGGGATTTTTCGCAACCACCCCTGCCTCTAAAGAATTAAATATTTCCCAATCCCTGCCAGTGGGGAGGGATTCCAGCCACCCACACCCAGCCAGGCCTCGTGAGGAGTTTCTCCTCACCTGCTCCTTCTTCTAGAACTCAGCTCTCCCAGCACTGGAAAACCCTCCAGGGTCAGAACTTCACCCATTTACTTCCCAGGAGACCACAGCGAGCATTTGAAGGAGTATTTCTTTCTGACATTTGATTATCCAGTTTCTTAGTGTTCTGTGTAATCTTGGTGCTTTTCCTAACTTTAGGTTTGTTAGTTGTGTTATTTAGGAATTGAAGGGGAAGGTGCTTAGAAAGATATGGCCCAAACTCAGGTATGTTTACCTAAAGATCTCAGAACATTTTAAAAAACAAAGGCAGATATAAAACAAAGAATCCAAAAAAATATAGATCCGGGAATGGGCTTTGGGCTCACACTAAATTTGAGTTCCAATTTAAGAACAATTAGTTCTTCCCTGTTCGATACCCACCCTCAGGAAGGAAACACAGAAGACATGGGTACTATAAAAAAAAGTGGCAAAGAAATTACATGGTCCCCAGCTACCAGATAAAACAACATCTTAAAAACCCTTCTCCAAACAAGCAGTTATGTGAGTGAGATGTCAAATAAGTTCTCATGAAAGAAGCACACCATCATCAGTCACCAAAGGATTGTAAATCATATAATTTGAAGTCGAAGGAGGGCTTAGTATCAGAGCCTAACTTGTGAGAATCTGGTTTGCAGAAGGCTGTGGATGACAGTGGGAGCCCAAGATACATTTGGGGGAACGACATAGGGAATAAGCCTCCGGTGATTGTCCGTAATTGAGCGATGGGAGGAAAGTGGTTACAAAACAGAGTGCATTAGAGAGATAAGTATGGAAGAGCAAAGGGATGACCTGACTTGAACCATTAATACTTTGTCAGTGATCCCCCTTCTGATGCATGCTGGACCTGATATGGTTTTCAATATTTTCTGTATGTTTGTTTTATGTTTTTGTTTGTTCATATTAGAGTTTATCTCAGATGTGTTATGTCATTGGGGGTCACCTTTTTGGAGTTGTGTTATATGTTTTTCTGTTTTTGGGCATATGAAACCAAGGACAATGTCAAGGAGTCCAGTCTGGAAACTGATTGTGGTAGCAATTGTACAATACTGCTTAATGTGATTGAACTATGGAATGATATGTATGATATATGTATTAAATCCCAATTAATAATAAAATTGTTAAAAAACTAAAAAAAGAATTAAATAGTTACTATCTAAATATTCTCATATAGACTGTTGTCTAATTAGAATGAAATAGGGTTATCTTTGGAATATTCATCTCAATATCCCCTGTCCAATTTCTCTGTAGTGATAGCTATTTTTAAGAATCTCCACTTTACTATTTGTCCCCATCGCATAAGCAAGAGTAAAAATATTTTCCAAATAATTAGCTTGCAATCTTATTAAAGCCTTTGTTCGTGTGTATGTCTTTACCCTTGATGGGCTCAATGATTAAAAGACAGTTAGTTTTAACTATCTCCTCTCCCCCCATTTGAATATGAAAAGTGATAAATATTTTTTTTCCCTTAGGATTTGCTGATGCTATTGGACTTAATTGGAACTGCAAACCCAACATTTCCCAATTATTTCCAACATACTGCCAGATGGTTTAATAGACTTGAAGCCATTGGTAAGCACCACTGATATTAAAGGATAAAATGTGGTTTCTTCCTACTAGCAAACACTATATTTAAATATTCAAAACTGATGATTTAAACATGTAATATGCATGGTTGGCATTTTCCCTTATTGATTAGCTTATTATGCCCATTACTCTCTTTTAGTGTGCCCACTTTATTTCCTTGCCTGGAGTCCCACTTTGGAAATGGAAACATGAAATACTACATTTCATGTTTGCTTATCCTTGGAAATGGTCTGAAAATATTTTTCAGAGACGTGCTTGCAGCATTTCTAGGAAACACTTTGTTCACCAAAGCATGTTGGTTCATGATGTATGTTACAGCCTTATAAAATCCTGAACAATCTTCTTTAATTTTTCTTTGTTTTCCATTTCTGGTTTTCCATCGTCCATCTTCTGACATAATTTCCCTTTCAGTCTGGTACCATTTCTGTCTAAATTTTAAAGCTCTTTGTTTTCCGGTGGAGGCTGAGTGAGAGATCAGGATGTGAGAGGAAGGTAGATCCTTCCTCTTTCAGCCCAGGCTTAGTATCAAATAATGGGGCATGGTCTGGGCCAGAACAGGCCACACCTGGCCAAGAAGCATAGGTAACTATGATCCAAGAAAGAGGCTTGGGACTTGGAGAAGGAGAAGGACAATAATGTTCTCCCTTCATACCACCAATTCTGTCCTTGAAAAAAAAAA